CTTTAATGTCAACCAATTCTATGAAATTCTCAACTCTACAATTGTTAAACAAAAAAAATGGTTGAACCCCAACCTTAAGAGTTTTACCGCTCTGCGCCAAGAACTTTGTAAGAGAGATAAATTACGGGATGCGTTTCCACAGACTAGGGAACAAGAACTGCTTGTTCACTGTACCTACAAAGAGTTCAATTTCATATCTTAAGAATCGAATCTCCACATTGCGACTGTCAACAAGACATAAAATAATTTCATTCATGGACTTTGCATCACTGTACTTTACAATTGTAGTTTCGCGGAGAGGAGTTGGTACCTGACACATTTAAGATTAACATTATTTTTTTCAGTCAAAATTTCGCAGGTTCAGATTCTGACACCACACTATATGCAGCCTTTAGACCACGTGACACAATCCCCCACATCACATGCTGTATTCTATTTCTACATGAATCATTAACCTATTCCTCGCCAACTTTCTTCTCACATATCCAACGGTCAATATTGGGTCCCGAAATACAATAATAAAATATCAATGTTGTAAAAGACGTAATATGTGACGATATGTAAAGATCAAATTATAAACTAGACGACACATAGACATAAAAAAACATATAAAAATATTTCTTTATTCAATATTATTTCAATTTTTAATCAATCAAAAAATTATTTATAATTAAAAATAAAATTTACTAAACATTTAAAACAAATTTATAGGAATTTAATAAATTTTTTAAAAATTTTCAACAAAAAGATAAATAGTAAATAAATAGGAGTTTTCCTTTTTTCAAGATTTTAAGCGGTTGCTTTGAATTTAGGACAAACGAAGTGAAGAATTCAATCTTTACATTTTAAATTTAAAAAATTGTAAAAAAAAAATTAATTATTTTATTATTATTATTATTATATGGGTTAAAAGGAAGATAACTCATGCGCGCCGCGCATTGGCGGTGATTTCTTCACTAAATTATTTATTTTTATTGATACAAAATAGAAAAACAAAGATTGATGATATTGGGTATCATTAATTATAGATAAAAACTTATGATTGATTTAATCCCTATTTCTTTATTGAGTTTGTTTTATTTTGATATTTATTAATATGTCCTTATTTAATTTACCTACTTATAACCAATTTTTCATTTAATTTTGAAATTGTATAAATATAAATAAGGACAAATTAAAAAAGTTATTGGCAAAATTTGCTTTTTTAATAAACCTATATAAATTGGATTGGGGGAGTATTATTTATGAGAAGTGCAACATATACATAATTGTGTCTATAATTACATATGGCACAAGATCCAACATTTAATTCAAATCTCACACTTTCACATCCCAAATGATTGTCATATCACATTATGAACATTATGTACAATAATTATATACATATAGACTTTTTCATTATTTAAAAACATTTTTTTCTACATATTTATTTGAACCATACATTCACACAATGAAATATTATGCCCTTAACCTCGATTTTTTTTTAATTACATATTCTCCTAAAAATCATTATTCAAAATATTATTTTCCTTATGGACTTTCAACAATATTATCATATTATTATGAACTGTAAGCTGTTTGCTAACAAACATACTCGAGCAGCTAAATGACCATTAATATAAAACTTTCGAGCCTATCATTTAATATATAAAGTCACAATCAGCCATGACGATATTAAATATAACATATCCTTAAATAATAAGGTACACATCTTAGACTGTGCAACCTTAACAACTGTGCACATAGTCTCATGGCTCGAAAACTCTTTAGTCTCGGCCACCCGACTCGTCTCCAACAAACTGTCCCATTATCGACGACAACACAAAAACTTAAGAATCACAATCAGTACTAGTCAACAATAAACAGAGAAATAAAAAGCCAACTGAAAAAGGAAATCTAAAAGAAATTTGATAATTTCTTAGAGTTGGCCAAATGAGTGAGCAAGATATGCCAAGGATCCAACAAGAGGTGCATTAATATAAGTCGCTGGTTCCGATTGCTCATAATCAGACCGTTGATCAGGAAAGCGATCGTGTTGATCGGGCCCGCCGACTATGGCCCCCATCAGGATGTTGGGATTGGGAGACTGGGAATTCATTACACCGAACCCTGCAGAGCACTGGATTTTTGCTGGATGTTTAGCTATGGAAGGGAGAGATGATCCCCTGTGGTGGATCCTCAGTGGATACCTTGCACCATAGCCCACCATGAACGACATTTTAATGGGATTATCTCCAAGCAAATAGTCCACCTGTATGTTTGATATTTCCAGATTATCAGAAACTTAAGTTAACAAACAATTTACTCAAAAGTACCACAGCAGCTACTAATGTGGAGTGTTTAATTTTTATTTATTTATCTTTTTAAGTAAAAAAGAGAAAGGATTGTACCTGTCTTTTGGCAAGTGCCCTAAGCTTCTTTGGCGTGACAGTGGTTCCACCACAATTAACCACCATGTGGGAAGAGGTCAAGTACTTAGCGTAAGTGACCAGCAGGAAAGAGGTGGATGTAACATACTGCATATTACTGTCATTCATCTTAAACAAAAGCCCACCTGATAACATCTCACTCCATTAGTTAATAAATCCACTTGATTAGAGTCGTCTAGACTCTAAGAGCATGTTTGGCACACAGTACTAAACACAATCGGACAATAGAATAGAAAAGGCTCTGACTTTGTTTTCTTTCCTAATACAGTCGTGTATGGCTCAATCAATCTTGCAAACACATGACGTGAAGGACGGGCGGGGGGGACGAACCTGGGGTATACTGTGCTGAAGAGTAAGGAGTCCCTGGGATTAGAGAACAAATGTAATTA